TGAAGTAGAATAAATTTAAAAAAATGGATAATGCATCACGGTGGGACAAAAATATAAATATGGCGGATGTAAATTAAATCTCACAAAAATCATGACAAATGCATAGCAAAAAAAGGGTTATATTTTCTCAAAACAATAAATATTTATACACCCACTCTGGACAAATCGTCCTCAACAGGACATTATATTGGCATATGTATTTTATTTCATTTAAACTGTCTACAATTATCGGTCGGTAGCATCATAATTTTTAATTTTATAGAAATCTTGTATATAATATTAAACCTAGGATTATAAAAACTTTTTCACTTTTACCCTACAGTCAGTATAACATAAAGATAGTATTATATCATACAATATATTCTCATTTTTATTCTATTAAAGATATATTTATGTAAAGCAAATGTAAATAAAATATTAGTTATATAATCATAAATTGTGGAAAAAAAATATATTTTCCAATGATCGAATAGGATCTATTTTATTATGATTATAATATTTATTTTAATCTTATTTTACTTCTCATTACAAAAAATATAGATAAATATTTAAAAATATTTTCGGTCTATGCTGACTGTAAGGTGTATATGCAAAATGACATAAGTATATCTTACATAATCTAGAATATACTGTTGTTTACAAAAAAGGTATCAATGCGAAAGGAAAACATAATTATAAACATATTAACACTAATTATAATATATTTTCAAATGAGGTTGCCCAATACAACACGTTATAGCACACCCCGTATGAAAACGGGATATCCCAAAGTATACTAGTTCGATAGACCACATCTTTGTCCATAATATCACTATACATCTCTAATGGATCAGATCACAAATAAATAATATATCAATTCAATAATATATCAATATCAATTAAAATCCAAAAATCGGTACAATGTGCTGATGTTTGTAACACTCAAAAATGTTTGTCCTTAAATATGAAGGCTGTTGAAAATTATTGAAATCGGAACAGACACTATTTGGAACCTATGTAAGATTCAACATAAATGCTTTATTATTGAAAATGAATTACATTTAATAGTCGTAATTGGTGTAGGGTATCATATGGTATCACGCCTGACATTTAAGTGATTTTCGGAAGTGGACCTATTTATGTCGAATATTATTCCAATATCTTTATTTCTTAATTATCTTATATGGGAGCTATGACCAATTATGGACCTACATATACAGTCTACGTTGGTAATTTCTGTTCATATTATATACATATCCGCAAAATTTCGTAGTTATACTAATATTTTTGACGAAGTTATTGACGATAAATCTATTTCTATTTTGAATCGATTGTTTTGAGTTTGAACATATTTGATCCCTGGGCAAAAAAAAAAAAAAAATAATGTGTGACAAAATTCATTCAATTATCGTTGGTAGTTTCTGAGAAAACTACTCAAGAATTAGGAAAAAAACACAATTTTTTCGGGGTAGTCTGAAATTTTTACTCATAACTTTTTAAGTTGTGGACCGATTTGGCTGATTTTCAACACCAAACTGCTTAAGACAATAGTGAATATTTTCAGCGAACGTTTTAACGTGAGCGTGTTTGAGGCAGACTGACAGACAGACGAACATAGCTAAATGGACTCAGAATTTCATAAGGATCCGGGATATATATACTTTGTTGGGTCTCAGATGAATATTTCTTGGTGTTACACACGGAATGACAATCTTATATATACCCTCTAAAAAAATTTTATGAAAAACGGTCAATTATAAACTGTTTATGTTTATGATGTTTATAGGGAAGCATTCCTTTTATGGCATACGGTTTGATGGTGGGTATATGACACAGCGGAATATAACACTCTCACTTGTTTAAAGAATTATTTGTGATATTATTTTCCTATAGAAAGGCATCACTCGAACATAAAAGATGTTTTCAAGTTTCGAACATCCTTTCCAATGAACTCTTTCTAAATGTGATTGATGATGTGTTTTTTCGAATCTTTGAAATTTGGTGTTAAATTGTTCGCAAGTGCATTAATGGGTTTATTTACCTTTTTTACCTTCTTTAAATATCGGACAATATACTATAAATTCCAGTCATTATTTCGATATGGTACACTAAGAATTCTCAAATATAGCAAAATTTTACCTTTGAACTCTTCAGTTTATGGGTTAAGAATGACCGATTTTAATAAAACTTCGGATATACAATTTTATAATACTCTGAAAATACTTTATTTAAAATATACATTAGTAAAAAATTACTACGTATTCTTTAAAATATTACAAAAAAATGCGATTTTCCCAAAATCCGCAGAGTTCAAATAGCAGCTACAGCTAAACTGTAAGAAATATTGATCTAATTCTTTTACCGTTTAATATCCTTATCTATTGTCCACAAATCCTCATGAAATCTTCTAAAAATTTTGAAATTTGTTTAACAAAGTTTCAAAAAAACTAAAATTGGATTTTTGAAACGGCCGTTGAAAAAATCAATCATTTTTGACCATAGCTGAGAACAAGTTTGCGTTATCTTATAAGGGCAAAAACTAATATTTCAGTAGTTATGTATTTTAAGTAACAAATGTTTTTTTTAGAATATAAAGTAAATTTTTTTGCCCCATTTCGAATTCATGTTCTGTGAGACACGTTAATGGCCTGGGGAATTTGCAATAACTTTTAAATTTTTCAAGAATTTTTTGTATTTATATCTTTCCGAAATGCTTACTCTTTTGCACTTTACAATAAAGTGCAAAATTTATTACTAAATTGCCAAACACTCCAATAAGTTTTTGGTTCACCATATCCCAATTATATTGAGATATGGATCTGAAAATTTGGCTTCTTTCAATGACGGCACGGACGAGTCTCTCTTTATCAACCTCGTTAAAAGAGCGCGTCATCGACTTCTGCGATTGTTTGGGACGTTTTGACCCAGATTTCTGGCTTATGCAGTAGCTTCCTACTCTGAACGTTGCCATTTAGGCGCCGCTTATGTTTTAACTTTAGCGGGAGGAGGTTCATTTGGTCCTTTGCCCATTGGAGTGAGTTTTAGACTCGAGTAGCTCAATAATTCTCAAGTAGTTGCAGCCCGCTTAGATGGTTATTTGTGCCGAGTCGTTGTTATTTGGTTGTTGTTCTTGGTAGGGGGTGGTATGGACCCCGACAGGAGGATTCCATCACTGAAGCTGGGGGTACAGAAGGCGCTTTTTGTGGACTAGTGTTGCCGCCTGACCAGCATTCGACACATCGCAGATCATTGCCAACGCAGTGGAAGTAATGTTCCTGGGGATTATGAAATCCCTGACTGGATACGCGGGGCATGCTTCATTCTTTTCTTTCATGTTTGCCCTTATGGACGCGTTGCGTTTTTAACCTACTGCCGGGTAAGAGTATGGCTAAAGATTAAGGCAGCCGGACATACTCTCCAAGACCACACCTCTCATTGAGGGGAGAATGGTCGAGGATAGCGCCCCATAGGGAAAACAGACCATATCAGACAAGGGAGAGTATAGTTCTTAGTATTGTATCAAGATGACTACCCATCGCAGATGTATAAAAGACTTATTTGGGTTCTTGATGAGGGTAATTTGGTATAAATTCTAAATCATCAGGCAACTTGAGTTCTGTTTAAAATATAATATAGATTGATTGAGCCGTGCTGAATCCGAATCTGACCTTAGATTTCCATCAGATCTGGGTTTTGAGATATCGAGTCTTCGGCCATGAACAACTGATGGTACACTATAAGGACATACACCAATTGTTACCTTTTACCACTTAAAACGTTGGTATATTTTTTAAAATAAACCGGATTTCATTGTTTGTAGACTTTTGTAAAATTCAAGGTACGAAATAAATTTGTTTTATAACCTTCAGCCTCGTGAGAAATATATACATATAAATATACATACTTACATACATACATACATACATACATACATACATACATACATACATACATACATACATACATACATACATACATACATACATACATACATACATACATACATACATACATACATACATACATACATACATACATACATACATACATACATACATACATACATACATACATACATACATACATACATACATACATACATACATACATACATACATACATACATACATACATACATATGGGTCATTTCGTGCCAAGTGCCCAATTTTCAATGTCTTCCAAAAAAATATTATTTAAAAAAATAAAAATTTTTTTGATACATTGGAGAAATAGTTACAGGATTTTGAATAAAACCCTGTATGACCAAAATGTCCAACTTTGACCCCCTCTAAGTGCGGCAGTTGTGGACCGATAGTCTGGCCAACTATTCAATAGTACTAACCTTGGTGCAAATTTCATCATATCGATTTTTTGAGTTGGGTTACTTGATATAAAAAATGCGAAAATCAAAACTTTTTTTATTTTGACTTTTGTCGTTCTAGATTTGGATCAATGTGTTTGTTTTTATCGAATTTAGAAAATTGTAAATTATATTATTTTTAAATTTTTTTAAACAACGATTTCAATCTCAAATTTCAATGACGCCTAAACAAGTATCACATAGTATTATTAAATTAAATAAATCTTAAGAAGCTGAGTTGTTAATACATAGTTTATAAACAAATAATAGCAACAAAAATAAATTTTTATTTTCTCTGTTCATTATTTAGAGAATAGTGTTAGTGAGCACTTGTATGTTATGTTCACACTTATCGAATATTTGACAAAAAACTAGGCCACTCTTAAATATATAGTTTGATTTCCTTTTTGATATCGAAAAACATAACATAAAAGTTATACCCCTAATGTAAATATATGTATACATACATATCTATGTATCAAGATATTAGTTTTATTTCTGTACAATAACTAAATAATACTCGCAATAATCTTATTGTGTTCTTTTTTTGTGTTCTACAATTAAATTAACTACAACACAATACAATTAAATTAACGAATTTACGCATTACAAATAAATACATGACACGATCAATTCCTTTTTGTAAGAATCGCTTGTCGTTAGTTATTATTGAGCATTGCCTCAGAACGGTTCCAAAATTCTCCATTAACACGAAAAATTTATACGGGCGATATAGGATAATAATGTGGAATTTTTATTTCATAAAACAAAGTCCAATTTAAATATGATCTGCCAACAGTGAAACTATTGTATTAAATAAAGGATTAAAATAGTATTAATATATTTATATTAGTCAAATTAAGAACGGTTGAAGTTTTACATACCTAAATAAAATTCTTCGATGTAAGTACTGTTAATTATGTAATAAATATTTTATACTAAAATAAACTGTGTTCGTTAAAAACTTTGCGTTGATTCCTTTGCACTCGAAGAATTTTCGTTTTTCGGGTTTAATCCACATAACTTCATAAAGAATCCATACCACATGCGCCGCGTCACAGGATCCATAATAACGAAGTACAGAAAAAGAATAAAGCCTTGTAGGGTTGCAGTTAGACAAAATAAATATGAAAATACTAAACCAGCTTTCATAGCGTTCAAGAGTCCAAAAATCCATGTAAATCCTAAAAGGAAAAATAAAAGTACCAATAGACGTATTTGGGATATGGCTAAACTCTTTTCAGTGTGGCGTATAGATCCGGCTGGATGTTTAAGAATGTTATATATGACAACGAAGAATATCACTAAATTCGCTATTATGATCAAAGTTATGGGCAAAACGATGCCAACGTAGAAAGATATTCCAGATGGATAACAGAGAGGATTTGTTGATTCATTTTGATGGGGAATGTAAGAATCACTGTCAAACACTAGTACACACGCAACCGGAATAAGTGGTAAACCCCAACCCAAAATAGTTGATTTTATGAAGAAACGTTTAGGTCTGGTATTGCCAAACACCTGGACATAACGTTTAAATTGTAGGTACGCAATAATAACCATCCAACAGAACTGTACGAGTACTGAGTAGTGTAGGCAGGCGCCAATTGTAATGCAACTGGTGAATATTTTATTGCTTATCAGATGCTGGGAGTTTTCTTCAGTGTTGACAAAGCAAAAAAGTATCATTTGCAATGCAATTGCAGCCGAAAGTTGAAGCAGCACTTTTGAATTGGCTTTTTTGCGCCATGAACGAAATGTACAAGCGGTCACAAATATTCCAGCAATTCCAAACAAAGATAGAGAACATCCCAATAGTGTAATTATGTCCAAAGCCTGTTTGTGAATTTTCTTTACAATAACTTCGATTTCGGAATCTACAGATAAATTGTAGCTACCACCAATTAAATATGCGAATGGTGTCAAATGAGTACAGCCGCACAGCACAGTGTTGTTGTTCAGTTCTGAACGGCTTAGTACCATAACACCATCACTTGCCCATGTCTGATAATTCCAATAACTGCAATACTGCTTTTGTGTATCGTTATAATTTTCAAAGTCTCCCATATCTTCATCATTGACTGTCAGAATTAATGGTAAAATTTCGGGAAGATCTTTATCATGTCCAGGAATTGAAATTGAAATTACTTTACCATATACAATTCTATCTGCAGTTAGATTCGTTTCTTGAAACATTTTATCATTAGCATAAATCTTTATAACAACCTTTGGTTCCGGCCGTTGTGATTTCCATGTATTATTAGACATCCTAGATATTTCGTCAAGACGTTGCCACAACGAAGTGGGCACAAAAGTCCCCATTAAAATATTTGGTTCATTTAGTAATTCATCAACGCTCTGGTTGGCCAAAACAAACCGATAATATTCGTTCTTAAATGCACCTTTCAGAAAACCGTCGTCATAAAATTCTTCATCACTATTTACATCTGCCCGAAATAAGGCAACTCCAGTGATATTAGCAACCTGGGGACTAATAACAAAAGCTACAAAATTTGTTGCCATTTGAACAACCACGCCAACATCTAAATATTCGATGATATCGATTTCTTTGTCGTTATCATTTATTAAGTTTTCTAAAGGCGTCATAGTTTGATTAGTTGTTGTGGTTATATTTTCTTGAAATGTCTCCACTGATGACATGTGATCTATCAGAAATTCAAATGTATCTAATAAAATATTTGTGGCATTAAGTTCTATGGACGGGCGAATTACACGATCATTAACTTCAAGTAAATAGTTAAAAATTCGCACTACTTCTATAGCCGTTTCCGAAAAGTTTAGTGTAGACCAGGAAGGTTCAAAATAATTACTAAATGGATCTAATGTTTGCATTGTCTGAGTTGGTGATCTAGAGGGAATCTTTAGCATTGTTTTAATTGACTTGCCGATTATTTTGGCCAGATAATATAGATCGGCTGGAATTAGATTATGTAGATTTGATTCCAAGAGTTTTCTTACATCTCTTACAGCTTTTTCTGGCTGGTCTTTCGAGGTTTTTGTTATATCCAAGGTATAAAGGTTTCTGGTAATTAAATTAGCCTCTGTAATAGTGATGCAATCATCTAATGTTAACTCCTCCCAAAAGGCTCCATTAGTAAAATTACCAAGACATCTTCGCGTAATAGGCAAGCCATTTCTTTGTAAGCAGAATTTCGATTTGGTCGCAGATTGTCCAATACGCGCCAACATAAAATCGTTTTCGGGAAAACAAAATTCTGTGCTACGTACTGTGTGGCTAAAATGCGGCTGATATTCTTTAATTAAATTAATAAGTAAATCTCTAGCTTTCATACGAACCGCAGTATCGTGGCGTACTCCTTCATCATCTTCAGCACTGCTGTCTTCTTCGCTGTGCTGTTCCTTGCTTGTATCCACTGATGATGATTTTATTGATACAGTAGTATGACATAAACATCTTAAGTAAGATGTATTCGGATAAATATATAAAATATCCATTATTCGTACATTATGTAGCACAAGATCTTTAAGGTATTTGTGTTTTTCGTGCACAGTTTTTAATTTATCTTTAATGCACGTAGCTATTTGTTTCATTTGATCGTGGGAAAATATCATTGCAAGGTGGTCAGATTTTATAGGAGCTTCTATTTGCATTGCAAAGGCATGACCCTTTTTAGCTTTCGCAGCAACGACTTTTGCAGAAGATACATGAGTAAAATTGAAAATCGTATGAGCTTCACACCAGTATTGTCCAGGGTCGTCATTTTTTATTTTAAGCTTAAAGATAGTCTTAGTGTGTGATTTATTTTCCCAAATTTTCTTCAATTCCACTTTAGACAATTCCCCATAGTCGGCATTTGTAAAGCAATGTATACTGTTTTCAGGCTTGTCATTAGACCAAATGTAGAACTTATTGTAAACAGTTAATATTAAAGACTCAAGATCAGTGTCCATACGTAAAATCATATCCACATTCTTACGGCTTTCAATATGTTCAACACATAGACCATGAATTGTTTTTCCGGATGAGACAATTTTCATATGATTATTCTTTGGTTTTATAGCCCACTTTCCATTCGGTACCTGAACAATACCCTCAAGCTCCACATATTCTTCGTTTTCAATATCAAACTCGTGGAATATAATATTTATGGTATTGACTTTTTTAAAGTACTCTGTAACATTAAGCATACGAAAATCATCTGGATACTTTTGTCCATCCCAAGTTATTCCATAACATTCATTTGGTCTATGGCTTAAGGCACCAGAGTCTTGCGGACATCCCGATTTGGCAACGAAATGTTTCCTAAAGACACATATCGAATAATGAGATTCACTACAATGAGTCATTTCCATTTGAATCGATGGTTGCTTTTGCTTTTCAACTTCTCTCTGTATATAAGCTGCTACGCAATGTTTATCTGATAATGTTTCGGTTTTTGCTGATAGCATTTCCCCTCTGTCATCGAAAAGTTCATTCCATTGTTTACCTGGCAATCGTATTACAAATGGATTAAATTTGTTCTCTTCATATCTTTTTATAGGCAACCAAAAACTTGTAATGTTATATTCTTTCAAAAGGAACTTAAAAATTTTATGATCAATTGTAAATGTATTAAGTCCAGGTATAACATTCGATCCATAGCAGAAGTGCTCGTCAAAAGTTTGCGCTTCTGACGAAATTTTAAGACAAAGGTATTCATCATTCAGAGGCAGTTCTATTAAATCATCGGGACATTTGATATTTTTACTGCGAAATTTACTGCATTGAACTTGATTTGGAAACCATTCGCCCGTTTTGAAGTTACATTGTCGCAAAACGATTGAGCCGTTATCCCAGCATACGTCTGGCTGGGATATTACATATTTCACGTCATTACCATCATTAATCTTCCATTCAAATATTCCCTTTAATGTCTTCTCCTCAGGACAAGTTTTCTAGAAAATTAAAAAGGTCCTCTTTAAACGATTTCTAAAGAGTGAACAAAATTCCAATTTACACATACTACTTTTGAATTTAAACTCCATGTCATTGAAAAGCGATTTAATGCAAAAATCAACAAAATACAATAGAATAACTTTATTAACGTTTTTTGCATCTCACTCAGAAATTAGAAAAAAATAATTAAATTCAATTATTGTATAAACAGTCCGCCTTGCCTTTTACTAACAAGTTTAACAATCGACTCAACAGAAGATACTACTTATTACTAGTTGTATGTAAATATACATATTCATTATGGAATCTCTTGTTCATTTCTTTGGAGGAGATAAACTTTTATTCATTTTTTCATTCTTTCTTAGCGTTTGAAGTTGTTTTATCTAATTTTCACGTAAGATTACCTGATCTTGTACACATTTGTACACATAAGATAACATTTTATAAACAATATACATATGTACATTAGGGTGGCGCCAAAATGGAAGTTGGAAAATGGAAATTTTAGTTCCTTCTATGATACCATTTCTCAAATATTTTAACTTGACTTGAGGTTTTTATGATTTCTTTCATATTTTTATAAAGACTTGATATAAAAATTTTATATCATTCCTTTGAGTGAAATATAACAAAACTTTGAGTAAAACAAAAACCTTAAAGAGGACATTTTTATTCTTTCACACAGCTCACCAAATATTAAACCCAGGAAATACAATTTGAGAAACGGTATCTTAGAATGAAACAAACTTTCATTTTCGGAACCTTACTTTTTTCCATACAAACGGATCCACCCTACTGTACATACATATATATACATATATATGTAAATTAGGAATATAACAATAAACAATACGAAGAAAAATTATTTTCTTTTATCGCGGTTGTTGAATATTTAAATAAATTTTTCGAAAAATCGCAAATAATTATCGATTTGTATCATAAAACATAATCATACCCGTATTTAAAATTTTAGTTAAAACTGAAG